AGACAATGTTTCAGTGTCCAATACATAAATTTTCCCTGTACTGCTGCTCTTCTTGTTCCCAATTGCTGCTGCTTTAGTTTCCCGTTGCTGTTTTCTATGTTCAGCTAGGTTGCTGCTAACCCAAACATAAAGGGGACACAGTGGACTGACTGTTTTTCACAACAATTCATAGAAGAAAAAAAAGAACAACATAGCTGCTGTTCTGAGAAGGAGAAACCAAGAATAGACAATGAAATCAGCTGCTAACAGCAAATAAGAAAACCTGCCCACACAGCAGGATACAGACTGTGAGATGCCTGCATTTTGTTTAACAAATCTTTAGGTAAACTTAAGTAAAGTCTGAAACTTTTTCAAATCCATTTTAGCTGCTTATTGAGATCCTACACGTTAACCTAAAGAAGCCACGAATCACCATTGGTATAAAAATCCATTAATATCTCTATATGTAGAGTGTAGATGAAGATGATCATCGACACAACGAGCAACAACCACAACATAAATAATCTTTTAGAATATCAATCTACATTATAAGTTTTCAAGCTATGGATCTCGTTGTATATTATTTACCATAAGCAATATAAAAATAAAAAATTATTTTTCCTAAAGCAACGTAATACGCCTCGGAACCAATATCAGTGAACAAATCACGACGAAACGACAATAGATTGGTGGAAGAAATACAAACAATGGCTGCTCTTAACAAAATCAAAGGAAAACAAGCAAGATACAATGATGATCTACTTTAGAGAGGTAGATTCTCTCCCACCCCAAGACGTCGCTGGGAATACTACAAGAAGAAAGAAAACAACAACCAAACAAAAACATACATAAAGAAAGTAAACTCTAGGTTCCCCCCTTTAATAGAATTCTCCCACAGCATTTGAAAACTTTCATTTACCACTTTCTCTCCAAACCTTCTTTAATTTCTCCACCTTGAGTTTGTAGTTAAGCCTCTCGTGGTCCCTATCTGCTCCCTTCCCTTCTCTGCCACCACACAGTGCCGCCCCTTTGCTTCTTCACGAGAACAGGTTCAGCCAGGCAGGTCGATGCTTTGGCTTTCGGCCGGTCCAGGAGGGTCGGTCCAGGGGCGGCATGACACTACTCACCTCTCAAAAAAGTATCTCATCCTCAAAGTGGAAAGATGAAAACTGCTTATGGATCACCTCGTAAGGCTTTCATGTTGCTTCATAGTCTGGCAGTCCTTTCCATTTAACCAATACCTCCTTTGCTCCCCCCGCTCCTCGACGTACTCCTTTGATCTCTAGCGGCTCCCGGATCACTTCCAAGTCCTCCGTCAGTGTTGGCGGTAGTGTCGACGAAGGTGTATGATCTTCAATCGCGCACCTCAGTTGTGATATATGGAAGACCGAGTGTAGTGCGGCCAATAATAATAACTTCAAATGATAGACCACTGCCCCGTTAAGTGTCACCACCCATAAGGCCTAAAGTATCGCGGTAACAGTTTCTCGCTTCTCCTCCTGACCAAAGTTTTATGTAGGTAGGGTCTCAGTTTTAAATAGACCGTGTCTTCTGGTTCAAATTGCACCTCTTTCCTGTGTCTATCCGCCTTCCTTTTCATGTTGTTGAGCTCTCAGTAAATGTCCCATAAGCTCTGCTAGTATCATATCCCTCTCATCTAGGTATTGATCAAAGTTGGATACCAATGTGTTATTATGCCTATAATGTATCAAGTGAGGGACACCTCCTCCACATCTAAATGCAAATGCTACTCCTCCTCTCTATCCTCCTCCTGAACTAACAAAATTTGAAGGGTGCGCTACTTGCAAAGGTGGCATGGGGCGTATTTCTTATCACAGTGGTAACACGATCCTTTTGATCTTTTATCATACACTTTTGCATTTGTGAGGCGCTTAAAACTACCCCCGAGACGGAATCCTGTATTCTTCTCATTCAGCGTCTCTTTCTGAAATGACACCTTATGGGTCCTCGGTGTCAGAGTGCTCTTGTAGAATCCTCCAGCATTGCCACCTTTATCGGTCTTCTTCACCTGTTTCTTATACTCCATCATCTAGGCGAGCTTCATTATTTCCCTCAATCCTCGTGGTCTCAAGGGGTGGATGGCTACTCGTATGACGGGCTTTAGACCTTTCAAAAAGTTCCAGGGGCAGGCATAACACAAAATAATTAAAGAAATCAAACAAAAAGCCAGTAAAAAAAGAATAGAAAAGATTATGCAGAAAAGTTCAGCAAAGAATAAACAAAAAATGCACACCGAAAATCACAAAAAAGCAGAAAATAATTAAAAGTAAGTAGCCGTTACCTCTATTTTCAAGGTATAACAATCTCATACGCAAATTATCCCCAGCCATCGCCAAAGAAACCGAAGCTTCTCCTATGAGTGGATCACTTCTCTCCGCCTGCTCCAATATCTCAATGCACAACCTCTCCTTCGGAGAAGGCTTCCCTTCTTCTGTCGCCTTACAGTAATCCACATACTTCGTCAGCCTCCTAGAAATCTGAACCTTTCTTCCATCTACTGTAAGATCAGCTGGCCTTGCTCCTTTAGTTAGAAGAGAAACTATCAATTTCGGTTCTCTCCGCATAGCAGCAACATGCAGCACAGTATATCCCCTCTGGTTCCTGTGGTTGATATCCGCAAGCCCGAGATCCAGAAGCTCAGCCGTAATTTTCGAATCGCAATGAGCCACAGCGTAATGCAACGCACACGCATCATCTAGAGAAGTCTGTCCCTCTTTTAACAGCAGGCGCACTAACTCGACATCATCAGAATCCAGAGCTCCATGAATTCTCTTCACATGCTTGTCAGGATAAGGAGAACAGAGGAGACGTTGCAGACCCAGAGCTGCGCGTGCTTCCTCTACTTGGTTGAGGATTTCAGAGGGCAAGGCCTTCTCTAGAGTTACAACATCTAAGTCCGACATGACTACAATTTCAACGCACTTAATAAGCAATTTTTCACATAAACTACGACACGAATTCGCAACAGAAAGAATGACTGGTACATCATCGATTGCTACCTTGTCAAGAATATCAAGAAGATGCCTCTGCAAACAAAACAAAAAAATGAAACTGATTAAACATCCATTCCATGAATCAAAAAGTGTTTTTTTTTTCATATGATTGAATTTAATCATGTACATGATTATAGAAAATTAAATCTATGATGTACTAAACATAGGTATGCACAAACACCAAATCATCTAAACCCATCATAAAAAAGAAAGCAGGATTGAAGTTGCCTGCAAATGGTTATCAAACCTTTAATAATCATAAAATTCAAACCAAGCATTTGTTTTGAGAAGAACCAGAACTGCAGAAAATTCAAGCAATATACTAATCCAATCTGCACAATTTGCCTAATCTGGTAAAAGACAAATTTTCAAAACGTAAACCTAATCTTGAAAAAAATCCAATTAATGGGAAACAACCAAATCTTACATTGAAGAGACTAACGAGTTCAGATATCTGGAAGATGAAAGACGCGTAGAGCACCTCAACCATAAAATCAACCAGTGGGCGGCATCCAACATGAGAGCAATCCTCATCCGCACACATACACACGTCCTTCGGCAACGCAGCCACTCTGCCACAATAGATATAAGCAAGAACAAACGCAAACGCATCGCCGCCCACCTGGAAATCTCCCAGCAACTCATTGAGCTCGATCCTCCTGCTCCCCTTCTTCGCGAAGAAATCGCAGAACAAGGGGCTGCGAGCTGAGAGCACGCAGCGGTGAACGCCGAACTCGGTGAGACCGACGACAATGCGAGCGTCGGCGCAGAAATCAAACTCGGGAGATTGGAAGAGGGAGCCGAGGTTGTCAGAGAGGCGGCGGAGGGCTTCGACGTCCGGCGGGGAGGAATCAATGATCTCGGGTAAGGAGGTGCTGCTGCAGTTGTCGGAATCTGAAAAGGCGGCGACTTGCGCACCGTTAATCATTTCAGGAAGCTGCGGAGATCGATCACCGGCGGCGGACGAGAAGTTGCGGCATTGGTGAGGTAGATCTCGATGGTACGAGTGGATAAAGGAGATTTCTTTGCCTTTTGAAGCTGTGGAAAAATCTGGCCTTTCTTCTGGTATCATTTCCTTTTTGGTTGGGGTGGACGTGCGGATCTTGGGCATAAGGGATTTGTGCACGTGATGTTAATATTATGATAATATTAGGGAAGATTTATGAAATGATATTATTTATTATAGTAAATTCCTATTAAGTTGATTGATTTTATTAATAATATTTTTTCTTCTTATCTTATTGAATCTATGTTGTTTATTTTTGGTATAATAATGAGTTGAATAATTCTTTATGATATCTCTTTGATAGAGTTTTTTTACAAATCTTTTTGGGTAAATTTTTTTCCTCTTTTTGGGTGAGTATTTGTTTGCTATTATAATAAATTGAAGAATGTAAATATTGTCATGAAAGGTTGGAGTTGGTGGTATCTTAATATTCTTTCTAATTATATTTTTGATTGAAGGAATAAGCAACAAATTAACTTTTTATTATTTAGAGATTGATCATTTGAATAAGGAGTTATTTGCTCAAGCTAATTCTATTCGAAATGATCTTCATGATGATCCTTTAAGGATGCTTGGAATATTGTTGTTTTTGAATGTATTATTGCTATTAAGTATTTCTTTCATACTTCTAGACTTCCTCATATAATCAAGCACTCTACTATTACCTTAATTTTTAAAAAGTATGGAACTCAAACATTTAATGATTTTCAGTCTATCTCTTTGTAATATTTTTTACAATATTATTGATAAACTATTAGTTGACAGAGTTTAGATTATTCTTGTCAATATTATTAATCTAGCTCAATTTTTTTTTTGTTAAAAATCATGAAATTGATGCTAATGTTATTTTAGCCTATGAGCTTTTATATGGCTTCAATTCCAATAGTTCTCCTAAGAAGTTATTCTAAAATTAATTTGAAGAAAGCATTTGATAGTATTAATTGAGATTTTCTTTATAATATAATACTTAGTATGGATTTTCTAGTTTTTTTTGTTTTTGTTAAATGGGTTCAAGCTTGTATTTTTAATGTTTATTTCTTTATTATCATTAATGGTGAATTATATGGCTACTTATCTTTTACTTTTGGTTTGTAGTAGGGTTGCCCTCTTTCACCTTATTTATTCATTTTTGTGATGGATGCTCTCTTCCCTATGTTAGAAGCTCTTAGCATAAATATGTTTCTCATCTAATTTATGTGGATGAACATTTGATATTTGGTAAAGTTGATTTTACGTATATGCAAAGGATTATTAATGTCTTAAATACTTATAATCAAATTTCTAACTTAATTTTCAATCCTTCCAAAACTTTTATTTGTTTTTCTAAGTCTGTGGAGCCTAATTTGCAAAAAATGTTACTGTTTTCAAGCCTTTACCTTAGAATTATAATGGCATTACTATTAAGCATTCTACAACTAATATTATTGATATCGTATTCGCATTGATAAACTTCATAGCCAGTTAGCTAGTTAGAAGCAAAAGATTTTGTCTTATGTGGGAAGATTTCGACTTATTAAATAATTCATTATTTGGAGTTATATGTGTTAATGGTTTAGATGTACTTTCTTGCCTAAAAAGCTGAGGAACATGATCTCTTCTTTAATTAGTTATTTTATTTTTCATAATAGTATGATAAGAAAAAGAGTATCACTTCCAGGAGAAGTATTACTTTACCTAATGTTTATGGGGATTTTGGTATCCCCTGTTGATAATTTGAAATTCAAGTGTAGAGCCAAACTTAATTGGAGATTTTTTAACTCTAATTATGTACTTAATAATTGGTGCACTATTCATAATGTTTCTATATGGGTTGAATCTCATTCCTATATATATTCCTTTTATAATGATCTTACTAAATTGGCTAACATTATGAAATGATATTTTTTTTATTCCACGTTATTCATAATAGTAATCTTATTTACTTTTTTGATTCTTGGTTGAATGACTCTTCTTTATTTAAATTTTTTTAGAATTTTATTTTTGATTCATTTCATTATGCCAATTTTACTAAACATGTGGTTGTTTTATTTAATGATGGTTGATGTTTTCCTCAAAGTAAGGGAATTCCTTTGAATTGTTTTTGTTCTATTCCAAATATCTTTATTATTGATAGTAATGTCAATTGTCTTTGGAAATGTTGGATCATTTTTCTAATAAAATTACTTATAATTTTATCTATAAAATTTACCTATTTAGGATTAGATATGATGATTTGGTTCAAAGGTTTTTCCATCAAGTTGTCTTTTCATAATTGGAGAATTATTTGCAGGGGTCTTAAGTCAAATGATTGATATGTATCAAATGTGTAAAATATTTTTATGTTATTTTTATATTATCTACATCATTTTTTTTACCTTTTCATGTTATTTGAGGTTTTATATTCAGTGTATAAGTGATTAAGCAATTTAGAGAACAAAAAGAGATGAAACGGGCTGAAGGAGGGTGAACCAACACCTGAAACTAGTGGACCAAGAGCTTAGACACCAGTCTTAGAAGCCCATATGCCAATAATTAGAGCCACAAGCACCTAAGCACCGATTTTGGGTGCTTAGGTACTCAAAAACAGAGAAATAGATTCTTAGGCACCAATATGGGCAATTAAGCATCAGACATGGGAGCTTAGGCGCCCATGTGCATGAGATTAAAGTTCAGTCAAAATTCACATTGTCTCACTGATGAAGACTTAATTTAATGTAATAAAAATAAGGAAACATCTATTCTTGATGAGGAGAATCTCTGTCAATGCATGTTGAAGTACAAACCTCTCTTGGCGAGCAGTCTCTCTCCATCTCACCATTACTACCACTTATGCTCTCTAGTGTGTCTATGATATGTTCAAAGTCCATAAGAGCAAGTGGGTTTAGTGAAGGTTTGTGAGAGAAGTTGTGAAGCAACTGTAATTTGTTTTTTTTTTTTGTGGAGAAGAAAGGAAAATCAATGATAGTATAAAGTGTGTACACTATCTATTTTACAATTTCTAAGATTTTGCATTTACTTTGTTGTGATGAATGAAATGCTTATTTTATTATTTCAAGGCATGAGTAAAATTTAGAGTTTACTTTCTCCTTTGAACCGGTATCATAGGAATCTTATGTTTAACTTTGATGTTGTGTTTATATTGAAACTACGTAATGGTGATGTTTTAACCTTCTACTCTTTATTAACTCTCAATCGGTTAACTGATTAATTAATATGTGGTGTGATCTAGTTGTGTAGGAGCATGCTAGTGAAACAATTAGTTTAACTCGCACTAACATGGGAGAATAGAAATATTGCTTCTAGGTTAGTATAATCATGAAGAAAAATTCAAAATTTTAGGAAAGTCACTTGATCTAGGGAACTAAACTTGTTTGATTTTCAAACTTTCCTAGACACTCAGTAAGGGATAAAGAGAAGATATGTTTCTGATTGTCACTCAAAATTTTATGACAAAGTAAAACTTGAATTTTTAAGATCAAACTCAAGGGAATATCATCCAACTTATAGAAACTTCACAGTTGTCACATTATTTATTTGGGCTTTATCTTTTATAAAACTTAAGAATAAAAATTCTTAAAACACAAAAAAAATCAACACTTCAAGCTAGAATTAAAACTAATATATTAGAAATTTTTCTATTTTGGAAAGTTAACTCATTCTCTATGGGATCAATACGCAAACTCGTAATTTGTACATTTTTTGTGTGACACATATACTTGTATGATTGATAGTGTTTCATAGCATTTCGGGCATATCAAAATTTTGACACCATTGTTGGGTAAAGAAGTTAAATTTCTATTCTAGGAGAATACTAATTAAACTATTATCCATAAAGATCTTCTTGCCCCGACTACTATTTTATATGATAATATTATGAAGGCTTCTATATGTGATTATAAATGAGCAAAGAAAAGGATTAAATACTCTTTGGCTTTTGAAAGGTGAAGATAATATTAAATTTAATTATTTTTTAAAAAACAAAATATATGCATAATTCTAATTTTCTTAAGGAAAATTTGCCTCATAATGATTATATTTGTATTCATCACAAAATTGTTAATGAAGGTCCCTTGTTATTCTAGTTTTCTTAATAGTTATTGTGATGATTTTTTTTTTCATTATGATCATATGTTCCCCATTAATACTTTGGTTTCTTATGTTGATATCATTGCTCTTATTCAAGTTTTGTTGGATTATGAGATTAAACATGTTTTTTTCTCTATTAGTTTGGACAAGACCTTTGGGCTAGGTGATTTTACCTTAAAATTCTTTAGAGAAACTTGATATTTTTCAAACATGAATTGTATTGTTGTTATTGAATAATTTTTTTATACTTCTAAACTTCATATTAGAGTTAAACATATTGGTTCATTATTATTACTAAGAAACATGATATTAAATATTTTAATAATTTTAGGCCATTTTCTCTTTACAATTCCAATTATAAATTCATTGTTATTTTATTAGGTGATGGCTTAAATATCTTCTTCTTAATATTTTCCATCATGCCAAATTTATTTTACTAAAGGGTGTAATGACACACATTAAGTGATGCAAAACACTGGTGGCTCACGAAGTATACGTGATGTATTAGTAGTACCAAGATTAGAGTCCGATTATTGATCCCACTGGGAATGGGGAAATCTTAATTCAAGAAAATTCTAGTCTACAATTTCAAGCACAAGCTTGAAAGTTTTGGTTTAATTAAATTTTTACACAATAATCCTAAGTTAATAAGTAATTCTAGTTTAACAACAGAGAAATTGAAGGATTCGAGTGTTCAAAAGTTATCCTCTGAAGTTGTTCAAATAACATTTTGGAATGTGAAATTTTCTTACAGATAATCCCAGTGACAAATGGGAAAAATAATCTTCTTTACCCCCTTTTGGTAGTATAAAGAAGTTTGGCCAGTCAATAGGTTAATTTCCATAAAGACTACTACTATCCCTATCAGAACATCTTTCCCATATTTTTGCATCGTCCTACTGGATATATTTTTATTCTCATAAACTAATGTAATTAACTTAGTTGATTCCATTATTATCTCTTCTAAGGCTCAAAATTCATAGTAAGTTTTAACAAATCATATGGCCAACATGAAATGTAAATGAAAATTTAAAAG